GTTCCCCAGGTGTCTGGGTCCCCAAGATAAGGAAAGGGACAGGGCCCAAACTAGGAGGAGAGAATGGCGGTAGAGATGGGAGGGTGAATGAGGCTGGGGGAGTCACGGTGCAGACGGCCCAATTGACTTACCCCAGAGAGAGGCCTGTGGGTAGGAGAGAGTGCATTACATATTTTTTTAAAACTTAAAAAAAAAATTTATTATTTTTATTTTATGTGTATGCGTGTATTGCCTGTGGGTAGGTAAGGTAAGTGCACCCGTGTTGTGCAATGCCCACTGAGGTCAAAGAGGCTGTTGGATCCCCTGGGACTGGAGTTATGGATGGTTATTAGGTGCCATGTGGGTGCTGGGATTCGAACACAGGTGTTCTGCAAGAACAACCAGTGTTCTTAACTGCTGAGCCATCTGTCCAGCCCCTACACATTCTTTTTTTAAAGACAGGGTCTCCCTTCTTTTTTTTAAGACAGGTAAATCAGGTTGGCCTCAATCTCAGAGAGATCCTCCTGCCTCTGCCTCCCAAGCACTGGGATAAAAATGCTTGCCACCAGGCCTGGCTGTTTCATATTTTTATAAAAGATATAGTGTATATAAAGAGGATTAGATGGTAACTACATTGTTTATGCATGTCCAGGTGTTACATGTTTTTATATAAAAATATAATGCCTATACAGAGGATTAGAAGGTGCCTATGTAATATATGCATGTCCCTGTGTTATGTTTTTGTATAAAGATATACTATGTAAAGAGCAAATTATCTAACAAGAAATACATGTAAAATTGATGGTAAACACCAAGAACTCCACAGTGGCTCAGAGGTAGTAAGATTATGAACTGGAAATATTTGCTTTATGAATTAAGGTTAATTGTCTAGGTACCTAAAGGGTGGGAGGCTTTGACAAGATACTCTATAAAAGTGGTCACAAAAAAGAACTAAGTTAGAAGAGCAGTCTTATTATGATAGGTAGGTGGGCTGGATTTACTTAGCAGTATCAAATCTATAGAAAGATGTACCACTATAAAGAGTACTAATTTATAAAAATACATTTTCTATTCAAAGAAATTTTAGTGAATATGTTTGTATGAACAAAGGTATAGGTTACTCAACCTTCTATGCTATTTTTCTTTAAACTGTATCTCCTGAATCATATTAAATAATTTCAAAATGACTATCTGCAGCCTATAAAAGAAAAGATATAATAAACAGTTAAATGTTCAGGGATTTCTGTGATATAACCAAAATTACAATCACTGTCATGTTCAACCTCAAACTTTTCCCTTAATGCATTTCTGAGATTTATCAACAATATGCACAGTTCAAGCACTTCACAAAGATCACAGAGTGCTACTCATCAGGCAGAAGTGTTCGCAGAAGCTGCTCTTAGCACTGACTGCTCCCACAGTAATGGATGGCTAAATAGCATCATCTGGGACAAGTACTCCTTATCTGACAACATGCCAGGAGTTTTTAGGTAGTTCAGATTTATATGCACATCAAATAAGGAATCGTGAGATTTATCTTTACCATGAAATCTTCTTGACATAATTACTTTTAAGTTTTAAACTGTCCCCTTTGAGGGATTTCTTCATTAAAAAGCACTTACCAGTTTAGATTTAACATGGTCAGTAACTGCCTGAGAATTTTTGGACTGTAAAAACAGAGGTTTCTCAACCTCTCCAGAAGGACAAGAAATGTATACTTTTTCACATTTCATGGTTTTGACAGCACTACTAAGTTTTTTGGAAGTACCAATTAGACCTACTTTATAAGTAACTATTAATGGTTATGCTGAGTCCAAAAACACATTTCCTTCTCTAACACCAAATAAAAAAAAATTTAAAGACAGTTTAAGAACTATTAATACAAAAATACATTAAAAAATAACATGATTTCTAGCAACGAACCCGAAAATGAGTAGCTCATTTATCCTCTTATGGGTCACAATGTTGTAAAAAGTCAAACACAACTGCATGTCAGAAGGAAAGACACAACAAGAAAACAGAATCTAATTACTCTGATATTCAAAAGTCTCAAGTACTCAAATCACAGGTCACCACTCACAGAGGTGCTCTCCAGTAATGTCACATGGGACACAACAATAATTTCTAATTTCCTAGAGTCATAATTAAAAAGTTCAAAACCAACAGATAAAATTGCTTTTAATGCTTTTAAACAAATATATAAAAATGTCATTTCTAGCACATAATCAATACAAAATGTTATTAAACTATTTTATATTGCTTTTTTTATACAGATTTTTTGGTATGGGGCATGGTTAACAGTTGTTGAGAGTGGTATACTAGAGCTGAGTCCAATTGGCTTGAGGGAGCTGGTTCTGTCCAGCTATAAACACAATGTATAACGTACAATGATGGTTCAGCTCATCACACTGTTTTAAGAGTCTTAGTAGTAATATTTATACAACAGAAATTAGTAAATACATACATCACAGATTTTTTTTCCTCCAGAGGGCTGATTTAGTAATATACTACTGCCTTCAATATATTCCAAATAGGTGGAACCAACATTTCAGTTGTTCCTCAGAGTGGTCTTAGTCACATGGTTGTCTTTAAATTTTCTGGTAGGTGAGCCAAGCTCCAGTGGATGGCCCCACACACATGACCATATGGGTTACACAAATTGGACATGCTGCTTTATTTATTTATTTATTTATTTATTTATTTATTTATTTATTTTTAAAGAGGACTCTAAGTTGGGAGGCAGAAGGGGAGTGGGAGGGGTAGATCTGGGAGGAGTTAGGGACAGTAGTGGAATGTGACTATGTCAAAATACATTGTATGCATGTTTGAGATTCTTTAAAGTAATACAAATATTGCAATAAAAACTTGGTTGCTAGGCATTAACAGCATTTTATAACAATATAGTGATAGCATAAAGAAAAGAGGGCTTACCTCTGCTTGGTTAGACAGGCATTATTTGTTTTATATTTTTGTCAAGCCCACACTCTGATGGGAATTTTCTCCATTTCCTATAAACAGGGTCAAATCCTCCTTTACTTTCTTAAATCCATAAATAAATCTTTCCCTTAACCATGTGCTTTAACCTCAAACCACCCTGACAGTCCTACAATATTCTCTGAGCCACCTACACTCACTCTTATTATCTTTTAAGTGACTGTATTCGTGCTTTTGATTTCCAGCATTATACTGACTTCTCTATCCAAGTCAGTGATGAAATACCCACTGCTGCTGTCTCCACCTTAAACAATCCCTGCTCAATCATCACTTTAAGCAATCTTTTTGCTACAACATGTTTCGTGGCCCTAACCCTCTTCTCAGATATATTTCCTCCCTCACCTCCCATTTTGGTTCAGACGTGATTAATCTCTCTTCCTTCTAATATCTGACAAAAGATCAGCCAGGATTCTATTTTGGCTTCTGCTCTGCTACCCTTCTTCCATAGCATACTCCAGACTATCAGCTTCTGGTTAGAGTAGGGTTAGACCAGAAAACAACAACAGCAACAGCAAACCTTTGTCTTCAGAAAAGCTGGCTCAAATTTCTGGTACTACTACTGCCTTCCTGGGTATGATCTCATGGCATGTCAAAACCCATGGATTTCTAACAGTCTCCAATCACAATTTTAACTGGAAAGAGCATCAGATTTCTTATCTTAACTTCTCTAATCTGGTACAAATCAATCTTGTCTCTGTCATTCAAATTTCCTTACCTCTAACATAATCCTCAAACCAACTACTTCATAGAAGCTACTATTTTTTAAAAATATTTTATTTCTTGTTTTCATTTTATGTGTATGAGTGTATTGCCTGCAAGTATGTAGTGCTTGTGCAATGCTCACGGAGGTCAGAAGAGGGCACTGGATTCCCCTGGAACTGGAGTCACAGATGGTTGTTAGGCACCATGTTGGTGCTGGGAATCAAATCCAGGTCCTCTGCAAGGGCAGTCAGTGCTCTTAACCACTGAGCCATCACTCCAGCCCCCTATTAATGTTTTTATGCACTGGTTCTAGACATCATAAGCTTGAAACACAACAATCTTACCTACTCTCTGCCACTTATTCTTTCATTCTTGCTTCCTAATTCCCCACCTTCTCTTAAGGCCTTGTCCAATGAACATTGCTTCCAGAAAATTGCTTCCCAGACTCTCAGATGGCTGCAGACTCCCTTATTAGAATACAAATGCACTGTTTCACCTAGCCTAGAGCAAGCACCTAAGAATTTCCCAGACAAACTGAATGAACTAAACTGAATCTGAACTTTGAACAGTAGAGTTGTCTAGTGTAATGATGTCAAAATAAAGAATAACTGTTTGAGGCTACAGAGTGACTCAGATGTCCCAGCTCTGAAATATGCACTGGTCTTCTCAAGTTCAGGGAGCAGAAGCTTCCAGTCAGCTCCAGGACAACTCAGAAGCACACGACAGAGAACAGTCTTAGGAACATCACAATATTCTTACTAAAAGATGTATTCTCTTAAATATTTGGTTTGCATTTTGAGCATTTCTTTTTTATTTAAAGTATTCATAAAACAAAATATTTTACAAAGCTATGTAACCTAATGAAATACCATCAGCAGTACAGATTAAACCTAGCAACAACTGATGCTTCTCGGAACATTCATCTAGTACACAGCGCATTATCGTTTTCTCAGAAAACAATTTTCCAAAATGAAATATACTGTCATTAATTTTCAGCTTCATTACTAAGACTTAATACATTACTCTGAAACTTTATTTTATAAAATGTGGCCTTCAATTGATACAGTGAAACAAATGGAGAGAGGGCAGAGTTCCATGTTCCTTTACTACCAAGGAAAATAAAAACTTAGTCTAACAGACAGAAGAACTGGAATTTCTAAGGACTCCAAACCAGAAAGTGAAGGCTTTTGCTTAATTCATCCAGAAGACAGAAGCCTGGGTGAGACCTGCCGCAGTACCCAGCATCACAGCAAGAGCAGTGAACAAGCCTGAGAGGATGTATCTGATGCCTCATTACTGAGGATGCAGAGCAAACTCTCACCTACCTGGCTTATTCCCGTGGGAGAGATCTTGAATGCCTGCAGCTTCTGCTTCAGCAGCTCTGGATCGCTGTGACGAAATGGGCACCCTGACAAGAAACAAGCCACCACACAAAGGTTATTTACCCAGGACCTAGCACAATACCACACTCAAGAGACTGTCTAAGCTTCCCTTAATTGTCTAACAGCTTATTAATAAAAAGTTAATTGCCCATGGGTGCAACTGCTTTCCTCTCTTATCTGAAAGAGGACTTAGCTGTACGGTTATCAGGGTTCTACAGGCTCAAGAGTAACATAAAGCACTGTGGCATGCTCAGGCTTATGTGGCTGCTCAATGGGAAGAGAAAAGCAGCTTTAACCGTGTAATTCTCTCGCCAAAACAGGTAGTCACAAAGTAGCTGTAACAGTGCACCTAAAAACCTACACACTCACATTTTCCCTAGTCTAAAAATTATGTAAAGGTATAAAAGAGGAGGAATATAGATAATGTAAACAAAAATATGCCAATTCTGAAAAACATAAAAATATCATACTATATTCAGACATAAATTCTATGCCTATTTCCTGAAGATCAAAACCCATACAGACTTGAACAAAGATGGAGGGAAATGATACAGACAAATGGGAAAACAACAGGTAGTTCATTCATGTTATCATTTATGTTTCATGAGGAAAAGAAAAGGATGGATAACTAGGAATATCTGCATGATTAAGAACACAGAAGAATTAAAACGAAAAGCTATAGGTGGCCAAAATATAGAAAATTTTAGATACTCAATTTTAATGTATACTAAAATACCTATGTGAAAATTCAGTATAGCAAAGTCTGACTTTTTGGGCACTGAGTGACAGAACTACACGTTAACTCTGAACAGCTGCATATCTGTAGGAAATGAGTGGCAACTGGTTAATGAAGAAATAATGGAAAAGAGCGAGGATGTCAAACAGACACAAAAACAAAGCATCCATTTAGTACTATGGACCCTTACAAACTATGAAATCTACAAAATCTGTAGCATATGCTTTATTTAGATTAAAATATATTAAGTACAAGGAAGCATCTTCAGAAAAGGTAAAATATATGGTTAAGAGGCTGGGGCTGATATCTCCACTTATCACCTACTAGTTGGATGACTATAGACAAATGTTCTATCAGATTCCTGTTCTCTCAAAGAGGGAACTAATCATGGTCACCTCACAATTTCCATTGAGAATAAAGAAAGCTCTTATATGTTCCTGGCACATACAGAGTAAGCACACAAAATGCTAGTTATTATTATTACTCTTGAAAACTACGACAATAAAATTAGAAAGCTACCAATAAGAAAGAAATGATAGTGCATGTGGAAATTATTGGTTATGCCAGAATGACTGAGGGACAAAAAGAATGAGACTGATGAACTAGCACTCCTGTTATAATTGATATAATGGACACACTGTTTGAGAGGCCTGAAAGGATGAAGCCAAGAAGAAACTGAAGCTTTCTCAAGTAGCAGTGGCACAGAAAGGACTCTTCAGGATATGCTCACTGCAGAAGAACACAGACTACACAAACCACTAGTTGGCCAAGCTGGCATTATTTTAACATATAATAATGTTAAAACATGCTCTGTTTCTACCTTTCATTTCAGAGAATGAACAATCAAGAAATCAAAAGGTGGGTGAATGCACATACAGCTAACACTAGTTACGGCTGAGTGTCTGACAAAGCTTCCCAACATACACTTGTGAGAAAGCGGATGAAGAAAGACCTACGCTGGTTACTTTTGTCAACCTGACACAAATTAAGAGTCACTTAGGACAAGAGAGCCACAATTGAAGGATTTCCCAGATCAGACTAGTCTGTGACCCATGCGGTTTTCAACTGCTGGTTGATGTGAAGGGCCCAGCCCACTGTGGGTTGATACCATCCCTGGTCAGGTGGGTCTGGGATATATAAGGAGTTTGGCTGAACAAGCCAGGGAAGCAAACCTTAAGCAGCATTCCTCCATAGTCTCTGCTTCAGTCCCTCCCTCCAGGCTCCTGCCTGGAGACCCTGCCCTGACTTTCCTCAGTAATAGTCTGTGACCTGGAGTTGTACGATGTAATAAACCCTTTCTCCCCAAGTTGCTTTGGGTCAGAGTGGTTTATCACCATAACACAGAAGCAAACAGAACGGGCTATAATACACTTAAAACTATGTAGACTCATAACTAGTTGAACAATTGTTCTAGGTAGGGTGATGAAATAACATCGATGTAGAGAAATAAACAGTTTTACAAATGACAAAACAAAGATACGTTTCCAGTTCCTGGTTGGCATGTAAGAAGCTTAGAAGTCACCACTCAACGCTAAACAAGAAAAAAGCTTAACAAACTGAAAAATCAACAACAGAAAAGTGAGGTCACAGGGAAACTGTGTCCCCTCAGATTGGAGAAACAGGTAAAATGGAGATTGACAACTAACTAGAGCAGATTGTCTGCAGTACCCAGTGTCTGTGGGCACCTAAACTGACTAATGCATTGTGGAGTCTCAGTGTAAATATAGCCTGAGAGAACCTCAAGGGGGTCAGGTGTTAGGGGGACTCTAACAATTTTGTGTCACATTCAGAAACTTACCAGCACCTCACAGTGTACATCACATAAATAGATATAAATGAATAATAAAAAGAAATCGATCTCCAAGCTTCTGGCAGAGGGAAGGAAAGGCAAACCATTTCAAAATGTACTTCTTCAGGAGAGACTACTAACCAGAGCCCTGCTGGGGTTTTCTAAAGCCTGACACTCTTAGGTGAAGGAAAACACTCAGCCTCAATCTTACTCCATTCAAGGGGGCAAAATCTGTGAAGCACTAGTGAAGTTCCCAGTCAGAAAATGCTGAAAAAGCAGCAGAATTATAATGGCAGGGATGCTGGAGTGAAGAGACCAGATTTAAAGTAGCTATGATTAATATGCTGGGAAAGAAGAAACCATGCAAGAACAGATGCTGATACAACCAGAGGCATATATTCTAATTTTTATAATACTACATATTAAAACCACCATATAGAAATTAAGAAGATTTTTCTTTCTTTTATCCTCAAGACACACATCTTACAGGTACCAGAGACTCTGAGTTCAATGATAGAAAACATCTAATAAGCAACAGAAGTAGAAAGCAAACTGGCTCGGCTATTCTAATATATGATAACATAGACTCCAAACCAAAATGAGTCTGAAGAGATAAGGGAGACCACTACATATGAACAAAGGAAACAATTTATTAAGAAGATATAACAGCTGTAAATATACATGCACCAAACTTTGAGGCTCCCAGTTTCATAAAACAAATACTAATGGACATAAAAGGTAAGATAGGTCTTTTAAAAAAATATCTTACTTATTTTTATTTTATATGTATGAGTGCTTTGCCTCCATGTATATAAGGGTTCTGAGGGGCCAGAAGAGAGTATTGGATCCCCTGGAACTGGAGTTAAGGATGTGAGGGCTAGGAACTGAACCTGGGTCTTCTGCTAGAGCAGCAAGTGCTCTTATAACCCCTGAGCCAACTTTCCAACCCCATTTTTTTTTGTTTGATTTGTTTTTTCTAGGTCTTAATACAATAATATCAATACCCCATTTCTCATCTCTAAGTAGGTCATCAAAACCAAAAGTCAACAAAGAAACCTCAGGTGAAAAATCATCACACATCAAATGGTCTTAACAAATATCACAAAATATTCCATCCAACAGAAACAGAATACACATTCTAAGCAGCAGTCCATGGAATCTGCTCTAAAATAGACCACATTCTAGGCTGTAAGTCTTACCAAATGCACACAGGCATTTATACAGCTTTATTTATAAATACAAAACAGAAACAATCAAGCTATTCTTTGATAGGTAAACAAACAACCCATGATATAATCAGACAATGGAATATTAATTAGTGAGTGCTAGAAAAGAAAAATGAGGAGCCAGGGAAATGACTCAAGGGGTAAAGTGCTTGCTGTGGCAAGCATAAGGAACAGAGCTCAGATCCCCAGCATCCACACTTACAGCACATCCACAATTACATGGTAATGTGTGCCTATAATCCCAACACTGGGGGTGCAGAGACAGGAGGATCTCAGAACCTCACTGGCCAGTCATTCTAGCTGAAACAGTGGGCTCCAGGTTCATTGGGAGACTTTGTCTCAAAAAATAAGGTGGCAGGCCAGGCATGGTGGCACACACCTTTAATCCCAGCATTTGGGGAGGCAGAGGCAGGCCTGGTCTACTACACAAGTTCTAGGCCAGCTGTGGTTTCAGGGAGACCCCATTTCAACCCCCCCCCATAAGGTGGAGAGTGATGGAAGATAACCCAGTGACAATCTTTGGCCACCACAGTTGCAAACATGGACACACATCTGCACATATGCTTGCACACAATACATCCAAATGTCCAGGAATAGGGTAATGATTTTAAAAATTGTGTCACTCAAAGGATAGAACATTGCATAACAAATTAAAACACCTTTCAAAGATGAGTTAATAACATGTAAAAAATCATAAAATAATGTCGTTTTAAAATGGGTGAGAAAATAGTGGTAATTAGCTACTTAAGTCTTAAGATAGAGGGTAAAAGCTTGACTGTAATTCTAAATGTGGGGATAACTGGTATATTTTTCTATTTTCCATAGTCAAAATACTTTAAAAATAAACACATGGGAAGCCTAAGCAATATTCAAAATTGAAAATTATCCACCTTTATGGCCTGATAACTCATTTTAACATACATGCATACACACATACACATCCCTGTACACAATAACAAATATTTTTAAAATGAGCTACTAAAAAGTGAAGAATTTTCAATGCATATTACCAAGTGAAAGATGGAAATATGAAAGGGCTACATATGGAATTCAAACTTGATTCTAACTCTTTGACACTCTATAATAAAATCAAAGCTATGGAGACCATTAAAAGATGTGGGTGTCAGAGACTGGGAGAAGAAGGGATGGAGATGATATTCAGGCAACGAAACTATTCTCCACAATATACATGGCATCATAAATTTGTCCAAATCCATAGACTATAAGCCTGGATTAGCTATTGGCTCTGGGTATGTGTTCACTGACTGGTAGGAA